TTGGAGACTGGGTATTTCGACTTTAGAGTGGTTTCAGACCTCCTGTGGTGTCAACCCAAATGCATGCATTTCTTAGATTGTCAACTTTAAACTTCAAATTTTTGAGAGTGTTTAGGCGTTGCAAAACACTTTAGCTTCTATTTTAGTGATAATCCGTCCCTATCAGTGACTCCATGGAGATCCAATGTATTTTTATCCGTTTCATCGCATTGAAATTTAAAGAATTCATTCATTAATATTCCTACTGACTTTTCAGCTTTGGAATAAAAAATATTGAGAGTGAATAGATCAATTCTTGAACAGTAGATTTTGTCATCAGAAATTCCGTTCTATTCACCGGGGTCGTTATGTACCCCATTCAAAATCTTACTAAGCCCCACATCCAAATGATTTTATTATGCAAAGATCGGAAACCGCATCTCCCCACAGCTTCTTCCTGAAAGTCCTTTTCTGTGAATCGATTTTGATGTCCTCTCTTTCTGGTTAGTATCCATCTAAACAAAACTCGTTCAGAACATGTAAATCAACTTCACCCAATGGTTAATATTTTTTTTTCCTTATGGCAGCATCGGTTGAACTCACAGACGAGTGGATGTCATCACTTGGTTTTTCAATATTATCTCAAATCAACGGCAGTTGCATGAAGTGTGGGCGAAGCACTTGTAACGAATGCTTGAGACTTGAAGGTACCAATATGATTAACGATCGCCAGAATTGTCTCCCTTCATGATGCACAGAAATATATATCCCGAGGGCGTGAGGGATACACAAATAAATTCGAATAATTGAATCGATTCCTCTGGAATTAACGAGCACTGGAGAAATTCATTATTTTTCATTTCTAAGCCAAAAAAATCTGCTTAAACCATAAAAATTAAAAAAAAATCAAGTTAATTGAAAGGAATGAGCTATTAGAGAATACTCTATAAAAGACTATTTGTTGTTTCAAATTAAAGAAATATGTCTGCGAATAGATTTTTGTACTCTCTGCTGAAAAAAAAATATAGATCTGTAATTGATCGCTGTCCCAATAAAATAATACAAAACCGACTAAACTCCGCAGAGAAAAATAATCCAAAAGTCATTAACCTGTTACACTCCCGATAATCTCAAATTTACCGAAACTCATCCAGGTCACGATGATTACGCGTTAATAATTCGTTGTTCGCTGCTACCTGCAGCATCGGCTGAAGACCCCAGTATTCAGAGGGGGAAAACCCCAGGTAAAACTACTGTCCCCCATCTTCTTTTGGCTTTTGGCCTGCCTCTCTCAGTGCCAGACCCGCACGTTTTCCCCCACAAATCAATTCCAAATCCCTTGAAATCTTGTGAAAAAATCCATCCAAAAAATTAAAAATACCTCTGTGAACATTGCAACCAATAGTTTGGATAATTCCGCAGGTCAATACTTTCTCTTCTCGTTCACGAATCCGCCTCCTCCCCCCCGCGAAGGCCGAAGAGGGACCGATCTCTTTCTCGATCTTCTCCATCCTCTACATAATGCGAAAGATACGAGAGGTAGAGTTGAAGATGAAGGGGAAAAAGGAGGAATCTTGTGTGGGCCCTCGAGACCAACCGAAAAACCAGTTCTGCCCGGTGGGTCAACAACAACATCCTCTAGGATTGCTGGGGCGTTGTTGTTCGACGTATCCTCCTGTCTCTCATGCGGATAATGGGGAAAAGAACCTGTGGTGGGTGGGTAACACCCTCGAGTGTCATGTTTTCGTGGTGTTGAGGCTCGATGAGGTCGAAATCCTTCCGGGCCTAGATCAAGGCCGAGTACGGTAATCCCACAGGGGATTCGAGGCTTCTGCTAAGTTTTTTACGACCCGAGGTCAAATGATCTTCCTCATAGCGAATTTTTTTTTTCAAAGGCTTCATTCATTTTTTTTCTGATCCAAAAAGTTGCTGCTATTAGAATATATGTTTTAATGTCAGAAAAAAGTTTCTTAATTCTAAAAATCGGAAAAAAAACTAATTGAATATTTTTTCTTCGATGTGGAAATATGAAGAAATTTGTTTTTTTTTCTCGTTTTTTAAGAAAACGGAAATTAATTCGGGAGAAATTTATGATTTTTTTTTACGAAGAATTTTTACATAAATAATTTTATGGTTTATTGATCATGTTAATTGCTGTATGATAAATTATTCAAACTTGAATTATCACTTATTGTCAATTGTGTACGTACACGTATGTTAAGATCGCAGTAAGTTTCCTCCCACGTTGTTTATCAATCTCCACCAAGTGATTCGCGACCAAAACATCACCAACGGCATGTGAAATTATCTTGGCCGGACTGAATAGTAATTTTCAATACCTCTTGTTCTTGTTCTTAGAACGGAGGTCGAACTCATTTTTTCAAAAAACCGTAAAAAAAGTAGAACATATTAAATAAATAAAACAATAAATTTTTCCAATATAACAGAAAGGAGTTGTTGAGTCGGTGAGAAAGAAAGCAGGAGATGAATTTAAGATGAAAATCCAGAACTCAAAAAAGAAGCAAAAATCTTAAAAGTTAGCACCAAAAAGACTGGAGAAAAATTCATAATCCCACTACTTCCACAATTCCCACGCGGAAATTATTCAAAAGGTGATGAACGATGAAAATAAACTCGCTTCCTGTATTTTCTCCTTCTCGCTGGATTTCACCGGAACATTGTTTTCCACATAACCGACAAAGTGATCCATAAAATATTCAGAAAATTGGATGAGACGAAGGTAGGTCACGTGAATGTGACTCCGAGAATGGTAGTCATGAATTTAACAGTGAAAAAGTGCTCTGAGGAATGGAGAGCAATACAGAGAGGGAATAGAAAACGGGAGGACACAGGGGGTTCACCCGCCCAATCGTATTGTCGGAAAACAACTTTGGATATCAATAAATCGTTGAGTATCAATGGGAAATACTCTAAAATATGATATCAAATACGCATAGTGTCAATTGAATTTCAAGCTATAATCATAAATATCTTTTGTGAATTCTCCATGTATATTGTCTTGTATACTGTAAAGATTCTTCATGTTTGGATGATTAACTTTTGGCTTGCTGTTATTAGTCTTTTGGGTCAGAACGATATACTTCTTGTTAAGACATTGGAAAATTAATTTGTCCAGAAAATGTCAGCACCAAAGGAAGAACTGCCCGTTTTTTCTTCATATGAGATGATGGTTTATATTCCGTCTTGATAAAAGTATACATATACTGAAATAGTATTTTTCACGCCTAGGACGGAAGAAGGGAATCTGACGAATCCGGCTTTATAATCCGAGCCAAAGGCGAAGATTGTCTGCCAACCCATAGCGTGATTTAAACCTGCATCTACTTAATTCAAGTAGCTGCAGGATTTATTCGTATGCATAATCGAATGGGAATAGAATTTTCTGAAAAACCGATGAACGTTTAGTGCATTAATTGGTAATTTTGTGAAATGATTGAATTAAGAACGTACGCATTCCATGGCTATTTTTTTTTCAGTGTATTGAAATACCTAATTATTTTATTTGAATGAGATTTGCCTGAAATGTTGTTAATTCATTACTAATTTATGTTCGAGATTCGTCAATCCCTGCTGACATCCGCATAATTAAATTCCAATCACATTGTCGGAATAAACCAAATCGTGTGAGCAAATGCGAGCATTAATCAAGTAGTGAAATGACATTTTTCCCTGCTCTCATTTCTTTCACTGCATTTTATTTTTGATGTTTCATTTTCTCTGATTGGGGTTTTGGGGGAATAATCAACTGTCGGGTCGGTACCCGGAATGACCTGAAGGAAACTGATTAGGGTACTATGGAGAAATGCCGTTTTCAAGAAATTGAGAAGGGCCTCGAAAGTAGTACCGGGTGAAACTCAGTCAATCAGAACTGGACAGATTCCAAGTTTTTTACTAGTTGGGCTCTAATTGTGGACAACATTCTCGGAAATCTACGAATTATTTAGCCATTAATTTCGTGTTAACAACCCAAAACTAGTTTTTCCCGAGACATTAGATGTTATCTCAATCATTTCAGTAGTGAAGAAGAAAATTCTAGGGCTTGAGGAATATCTCTGAATTTAAGAGGGGCAAAATTTTTTATTGGACATACCTCTTCTGTAAAATCTAATGCAGGCTATATATAAGAAGACCCTTACACTATTGCGAAAAATTACACTCGAAATTTCAAGTTAAAAAAATGACATTTTTAGCGACAAAGGGACATGGAATTTCTGTAGAATGCGTCATTGACGAATCAATTAATTTTTTCAATATTCCGGTAATTTTCTATTTTTAGGTGCGTATCAAAAGCCGGGAAAATTCTGAAAATTCCGACGATAATTTACCAGCAATTTTAATTTATTAAAAATTGCATTTGATATTGAAGTTTCACGATGAGCATGAAAATCGGAGCTGTCATGGAAAAATCAATTGTTATTCAACATGAAAAACCCAATATTCTTGAATTTTTAACTGAAATTGAATTAAAACCCATACAGCTGAAAATTCGAATGATTTTGTGTTTCAAATTTCAAGAAATTTTTAACATTGTACAAACTTTCCGTATTCTCTCGTAGATGCAGAAATACTATTCGAAAACTTGCATAACAACTAAATCGTTCTCCTTTACCACTTCCCTTGAATTTTCGGTGATTTTCTATAAACTTCAGGATCCCCGGAATTCTCGACAATTGTTTTTTGACAGGTCAAGGGAAACTGGAATTAATTTATCGTTCCCTCAGGAATAATTTAACTGAAATTTACAGAAAAAAATATCCAGCTTCAATTCACAAGAAATATCCCTTATTATTATTTACCAAATATTTCAGCCGACATTTTTCCCCCAATATAAAGTTGAGAAACGAACTAAATGGTCATCCCACATTTTACTCAATATTGCTCTGTTTATGTTTCCCTGATCCGCGACGGCAACTCTTCCCGCGAGACGGAATATAATAATCATGAGTTACATTGAATATTTGCATGTGTGGGAATACCGTATAAGACTGTGAAAAGGAGAATGAGTCGTACCAGTGTACATGTATCTCGCAGCGTGAGACGTGAACGTTTTATTTTAACGTGTGACAATATTCCGTAATACATTACTTCGTCATGAAGATTTACATGCTCTTATTTTTTGCTATCGGGTAAGAATGGAATAATTTAAAAAGGATTACTGATAAATCCTCAATAAATCCTAGCTGACGATCACGATAATTTAATTTACATCGATATTTCATTATTCCAGAACATATGGACAGTCCGACTGGACAGCAGATCTTCGATCTAACATCGACCGCATCACCGAAGATATCAATAACAACGTACATCAATTGCAGCAGAAAATCCACGCAAATGTTCAGGATAATTTAGCCCGAATCGACCTTCTTAAACATAACATAGACCAGCAAGTTGGTAAATAAGTTTTCAATTAAAAAAAATATATATACATATATACATCTTCCATTGAACCTATTGTTATATTGCAATGCAATTGTCCGTGCACTTGTTTTCATGTTTGTATCGCCTTTCACCGTTCGATTTTGACCTCCGGAATAGAACACTGACTCACGTACAACAGCAATTTTTATAGGTTCATTCTCCCCTTTTTTCCGCTTGGAGATCACTCCTCGATTACTGAGTGTTCAATTACGCGGCGAGAGATGAAATCGAAAGGTTTTTGCTGTGGAAAAATTTTAATTGAGTGTCTCGCAGAGAACACGAGAATTTATGATTTTGTAGGTTGAATTGTAATGAAATTTAATACTGCATTTGATATTCCATTGGATTTTTCAGAACGCCAATTCATTTCACCTGTGCAATTCCATCATGTTAGGAATCTAAATAAAAGAGAATTAATTTAATAAAATATCGAATGAATTTTCCTGGAGAGAAAAAATTAATTAAATGCCTCGAGGCGAGAAAACTGGAATTTATAATTTGTAATTTGAATAGTTCCATTGAAATTTAATAGTTCTTCGTTCAATCAATTCCATTATACATTGAATCGAAATTTTTTACGATAAATGTGTTTTGAACAGAGTCCGATAATTTAATATTCCTCTCTCTTTGCGATTCTCCACGCGAGTAATTGATTGGACGTAAAAAAAAAAACTAACAGTCGGTTAAAATCATGTCACAGTGATTATCCGTGGAGTTGTGTAATTTGTAGATACTAGACTGCTCGTCACACGTTTCACACTTGATTCATGGAATTACGCTCAAGTTATTTAACCTTTGAGCTGTTACTAATTGTACATTTTTCACTCCTTGCGTTTAAATTAGCAGTGATTGTCATGATTTTAGTGCTCTTCTGTGCATTACAACCTCGCATTACATGAATTAAAGATAATAGTATATATCTATTATATAATATATCTATTATATAATATTTAATAGTATAATATAATATCTGTAGAATTTTTGTTTGAAAAAAGGGATTAATTCATTTTTCAATAACATAATTAACAGGTAATAAGAATAAATTTCAGTCCGGCTCAATTACTTGAACATCTTGAAGGGGGTGGATCATATTATCATAATGATTAGACTTATGATCTATGTGGGATTCAGACCAGTTGTTTTCGATTGCGAGCCCTAGATAATGCTAAGTGAACTCTGTATACACACTATATACAACACTATATGAGCCGCTTACCACACGTTAAGTGCAAAAAGAATTAACTATTTCCATCACTTTTCCAAAAGTAATTTACAGATCATAGAATATGTTATTACCGAATTCAATAATTGTTGGATAAGTATTGAAGTTTACAGTGTAGATAATACTATTGAATGTTATTCTGAATGGGCAGAACTAATTAGCTGAAAATGATTGAATGAATCATTTCGATTAATTCGTTGTATACACCATTCCAATAAATTAGCTCGTTAATTTGAGTTTTTTCGCTTGTTGAATTTGCAGAGAAAATTAACGAAGACGTGAAAAATGGGAAGCAAACAGTAATAATTAATGGAGGAGGCTCCACTCGTTCAGTGATATCTGGAACCCTTCCAAATGGGGAGACCTATTTTCACGACATTGAGGAGCGGAAAATCGGAGACACTCTTCATCGTTTTGAAAGTTTATACAATCCGCAAACTCAGCAAGTGGAGAGGTATCACACGATTCTGGATTTAAAGGACCCAAATGCAAAACCGATACCAGCACGAGGGACAGGCGGATCGCTACCAGTGCCAACAAGCTCGCCAGAAAACCCACAAAATACACCAGGAAACCCACAAAAAACCAACCAGGAGGGATAAGTGAGAGTCGATGAAGTCATGACTCGGTGGATCGAATCACACCGCGATCCTTTGTCTTACTTGTTATTTGTCGGGGGTTTCAATGGCTAGTTTCGTGGAATTTCATGGCATTCGTTTCACCACGTGCCTTGGATCCCTTTACACTAATCAAGACTCTTCTATTTATGAGGATCACGATACAATTTTTTTTATTTTTACTCTTTCATTTTAATACTTGATAAATCTCACTCTATTATTTGTTTATTTTTCGATTTTCTCGCCATTTGAAAAATAATTTACTTGATTAATTTTTACCTATTAGAGGATATTTTTGGGAATATTGGGTAGAAAGGTGGCAATTTTTGTATAAAGTGTTGGAAATATTTTCGACGTTAAAACGAACGAGAGACCCGCTGTAACTGATCAGACGGAATAACGGAAACATTTAGGCCGTTTATTACGAAACAGCCCAACACGTAGACTAACCCCATAGATAAAGGGCCTTGTCTAATGGGTAGACCTGACACCCTGGACGAATTGGTGACTGGGGAACACTTGGATACGAACTCTCGAGCAAGCAACACTGGATATTAACAACCTAGCTGACATTATATCGAGTCTTTAACTAAACTTTTATTGTTAACAATAAATGGAAGATTGATATTAATTAAATAATCGGCAATATATTTTTACCTACAAAAGACCTCTTGAAATTCTCTATCAAGATAATCGATGTACTGATAAATTGGAGATTGATATAACACTTAAATTTCATTTTGACTTATATCAATATCAGTAATGAGAATAAAAGAATAATTTGATGATTCATATTTGAATTTAATTGTTGCATAACCAAAAGTTTATCCTCTCTAATAGTCTGTATACTAGAACAGCCAATGCTCATCTTTTCTGAAAAAAATTAATGGAATCTTTGAATCGCCTATGTGTCTTGCACTAATAATGCACTAATAAACTCTGCATTGGGAATTACAGTATTGACAATTTCTCAAACCTTAACCCTTCTTGAGCACATCCACAACGAAATGTATAATGAGAAGAAAACCAGGAAGACAATGTTTGTTCACGTGCAGTTTGGATTTAAGAAACAGGATGTGGGAAGTAATTCATGAAAATTCATCTTTGCTGGATTTGGAGGAAGTTTCCAATCTTCGAAGAGTCGTTATGCTGTTAAAAGTTTGATAAGACAACATACTGTGCGTAAAAATAAAAATAAGAGAACAGAAAAAACGGAGAATTTATCCACATGAGAGTGAAATAATTTCTCCCTATCCTTTAGACTCCACTGTGACCCCAATAAAATTATAAATACAATAAATATATTTAAATAAAGCAGTTTTAATATGCTCAACGGCGTTTTTTACTGCTTAATATTTTTTTACGAGCGAAATATTCATCTTGTCCTACCATCGACTTTTTGCTCTTTTATTCGGGTGACTCCTATGCTTTTAGAATAGATTTACCATCTCGACGAGGTCTACATCAGAGTTCTTCTCACACTCTCCCCCGAGGTGTTCATTCCCTTTTTTCTTCGCTTTTTCTATCGTGACTAGTCGACAGCAGGAGTCGACTCCCCAGACGATGGTATCTTTTTCTGTTTTCAGGAGAGGGAGGCACTGAAATTCCAGTGGTTGAGAAACAAAACTCGAGGAGAGTTTTATTTGTATTTTGGTTTATTACCCTCTTAAAATATTTTGGGTAAATTTTTCAAAAAACACCTCGACTTTGATTGAAGGGGAAAAAGTCCCTGAAATTTCTAGATAAATGGTATGAGAGTTTCTCAAATTTCGAATGAAAACGAGATGAAAACTTTCGTAGAGAGAAAAAAAATGGTAATCTAAAAAAGGATTCTTAACAAAAGGATTTTTTTAGCCTAAAAATTGGTTTTTCTCTCGATACTCGCAAATTTGGTTCAAGTAATAATGAGGATCGAATTAAATGGGTTTCTTCCATTCATCTACTCCTGTAATACTGTAATACATTATCCAACAAACTTCTGGAATATGGGAAGCCCTTAGACCACAGTAATTCTACAACAGGGCTCGTATATCAGTCTCAACAATCTGTTGTTTCAGTTGGCAAACGAGCAAACTCATTACTGCACTCATACATCAAGAATTTTCCTATAGGAAAAACCCGCCGGTTTTTTCGCTTCTTAATGCTTTTCCGAGCCCCCGGAATCCCTCAAGCTCCGCCAGGCAGAACTACATTAAAAAAAATTGAATAAATCTTATGTTAAGATTTTTCCAAATATTTCAAAATTTTTTCGAAATTTTTTATTTTTAGAATTCAAAAAATTTGCTTTAAAACTATAACAATTTCAACAAGGAGTTTGATTTTCAATTGTAAAATATGAATAAACACTGGTGGGAATGCTTCAGATCAACTCCGTTAGCATCTCGGTTCCATTAAAAACTACTAACGACAATCACATATATTTAAAATTTCTGAAATATTGAAGGCATTGCCGTCATTTTTTAGTTTTAAAAAATGTCACTATTATCAAGGTCGAAAAAAGTTGAATTGTGAAGAGCATGAATGGAGACACTCGAATATTTTCAGTATAACGACAGTCAAGTCCTAAGTTGGGACTTCGCTTCTTTGTCCTATATTCAAAAAGTCTTGATCAATCACCATATAGTCACCAAGTGCAGAAAAGTGATTTTTGGTGTGTGGTGGATGTTTATACCAAAAACCACTTTTCCAGACTTGCAACGAAATATACTAGGTCCCCGAAAACTTACTTTTCGGTGCATCGTGATGAAAAATGAGTAATAAAAAAATAAATAATGAATAAATTGGGACTTCAAAAAGTCCTAATATAAGATCATGAGTCTAAAGTTGCAATTGGTTTTCTTTCGGTGTAATTAAAAAATATTCGATCAATCACCCCAATAAATCCCATAATTCTCATAATCTTCAGAAATCCCTGTGGCGAATAAGAAGTCAAGAATTCACGTGGAAACATTCTGCAGACCTTCAGACATCCAGATGCATTAATTTGACATCTAATGACAAATGACCCTCCCCCCCCCCCCCCCCCCCCCTCGATTACTGACGATTTTCGATATCGAAGAGCGAATCTCGGGGCGAAAGGGAATTAGAGAGAAAATCAATTGTAATCGATCGGTATCGATATGTCCTTGCCCCTCAATTTTACGTCTTGATTCCAGGTATGACGGTGGAAGGTGTTTTCGATAACGCGACTAATTATCCCGGCGTTATTGACGGGTTATTTATGCAGGCACCGGCCCCAGTGTATCTCAAATGGTTTTTTTAAATATATTTTTTAATGGTTTAATCCATCGACGATTGGTGCAATGCAATAACGTTTAACGGATCCTCTGCCCTGAATTCAACCCAAAAAAAACTCGACTGTCTTAATTTACACTTTATACTCGCATGTAGTTAATGTCGGCATGAATTTCAGTTTGATCAGTTGATCGCCATGCGTCTTCTCATCGATAAAATGACTGCATTTGGGTTTTGAATTCGTTTTTCTCATCGGTATTTACGTCATTAAGATCTGAGATATTAACGAGTGGTAATTAGAAAGTTCCAGCGAAATTTTCGATTTCAAATTCTGTTAGAACGACACGACGATACCAAAAGTTTAACAAAAGTTCCGAGTTGAAATGGTTGAGATCTAAGTGGCAAAGTAAATGATGGTGGAGCCGTTATAGAAGTTTCTCCAAGGGACTTACTGGCGGCATTGACGTTGGACTATTACCAGTTGAATTTGAGGTTGAAAGTTATGATTTTGACCAATATCTGTTATTCCACCGCTGCCAGTTACTCGTTAGCAAACTCCAGAGTTATTGGACGGAGTCCGGAGACACTCAAAACTTGTTTCACTCGAAAAATACGAGCTGGGTTGTTCCCTTCACCTATCACCTATTATCTCCTCTCAAGTAACTAAATTCTAGTTAAAGCTTTTGCAAATTCTGAAATCTGTGGCGAAAGTACAACAGAAGTTGTTGAATTTATAATGATGAAATGAGGACAATGACTGTAGAAATAATCCAAAGCATTTACTCGATATCGGAAAACACGAATTCAAACTAAACAAGAACAACTATTTCGTATTGTATCGGCTTACCGCCAGACGGTAAACCGATAGAAAGTAATGGCACATGTTTAATTACAATCCGAGTGTAGTCAGACACATGCGGCTTACATTTGTGTTATTAAAACATAGTGGAATAACCGGTAACACATGAGTGTAAGCAATACAACGGAGAAAGAGGGGTGGATAGAATCCTTTGGCGATAATTTAAACGCCACCTTAATGAGATTAACGTTTACGAGCTGTTCCACTACGCTGTAAATGAATGGAAAAAAATATGCAGTGGGGATTATTTTACACGACCAAGTGACCTATCAAAATGTTACACTCTACAAGTACACGAGGAGAATGGGGGACAATTGCCGGGATAAATCAGCGACAATCAGCGATTATGGTTATCAGCATTATCAAGGATATTTATCGCTCGATTCGGCTGGTGAATCGATATAATCGAGAATTCCTATTGATTCTAAAATCATTATTTGTATCACAACAAATTCTGAAGGACAGACTATTCCTAAAACAATGATATTTATCAGAATTTATTATTTTTTATTTCGAGTCCTTCGGAAGGAGTGACACTCGACCGTGAGGGGTCCCCGAAGAATTGAGGAAGGATAGCTTACTCGTGCCGGGCATTTGGGATTTTTTCCTTGGAGGGAATGACACCGAGGGGAATAAAAAAAAGTTTAACTGGAGAAGAAGAGTAAAGGGCGGAAAAAGAAACGAATGGTGAATTTTAAAACTCTCGCCGTGACTGTTGGTTCAGAAATGGCGAAGAGCGCCTGCGAAGCTGACCAGAAGTCTGGACTCCAATATATGAGCAAGAAGTCGTTTTCATGATGCTGGGGTACATCGGCAAGAAATTGTTTTGCCGTTGCATCCGGTGAATTGCGATGTATTTTCAAGCAAAAAAATTGAGGCCATATTTATCGGTAAATGGAAACCGACTGGAGAAAATTTAAAACTGTTATTAAATTAGGGAGAGTATCTCTTAATTTGATTCGGAAAACTGCCGATTAGTTTATTCACAACTCCATGATATATATTCCATAATGTTAATCTGGTAGTATTTCATTATTCAAAAGAATATATTAATTGTAAATTTGTTCCCAGGAACTGAAAACAGATTTGCCTATTCTCGTTGGCATCGTCTCCCCCTACTTTTTTCATTATTTTATATTATTTCATTGGAACAATGGAGAAAAAAAGCAGAAAGTAACAAGTATAATGTAAATATTTTAGTTATCTGTAAATGTGATTAACATTTTATGCGATAATTAATAATCAATCTGATGTAATTGGAGTACGAATAAGCTGTTTGGGAGAACAAAATGTTCTTGTTATTGTTCGCTGTTGAATAAAAATTGCAATATTTCAAAATTTTAAGAATGGTCAAAGCCGACCGTTATTGGAGCATAAATTCCCAGCAGAACGGAGAAGAAAATCGTAAAACCTGTCGATAACAGAGGAGGCGTCATCTCGCGTTGGCTAACGACGGGTGCGAACTTTTTTATCGGCCGACCCGGAGCCGCTCTCTCGTTTGAAATGAAAATAAAAATTGAGTATCTTTATTGATAGATCCTTAAATTAAAACATGTTAAAATGTGAATAAGGATTCCTCAATTTTATTCTATGCTGGGTATGAATTTTTACGAGAGTATCTCAAAAAATTTTCCTTATGCTGACTTATATAAAACCTACACGGAGAGAAATATTTAGTAAAAATTACGGAACTTTCAGTTCACTTACCGATTACGGAGTTGATTCGAAAAATTTAAGTAACGGTATCGTTATTTTTCACCGATAATTCAGATAAAAATTACGGAACACCGCGGAAAAATTCCGGGACTTTAGATAAAAATTACGTGACAGTTCCGTAAAATTTCCGACAACCACATTTCGCTCCAGAATTACGGAAAATACACGCAATTTTTATTGAATATTTCTCTCAGTGTATATAAATCATAGCTCATATATCTCGGCCAAAAATCTTATACTGGAAGTCTATCTCAAATATATGTAATTGTATGTCTGAGAATGTAATGCGAATATACCACGATGTATACTGTGACGAGGCAGAATTCTGTGCCCCCCCCCCTTCCACCCTCCGCTGTTAAGCTGAATAATAACTCAGAAAAATGTGGAAATTAAGGAGAGTTCCTATATATGCACCTTACCTGTAATTCAAGAAGATTTCGAGTGCATTTCAACATATATTCTTCGCACATATAATTTTCCGTGGGTAAATTTTGTAGTATTCGTATTCTATTCGTTGTTCCAACCTGTTTCAATTCCTGTGGATAGAAATCTATTCGATGTCTTTGAGTGCTGAGGGATTAATGGAACAATTTCTGTAGTAATAGTAATCAATAGGATTTTCTGCCGAATAAGCTAGTTTATATTATTCATGCACAAAAATAGTTCAATCGATAACGAAAAATATATTGGCTGGGGCGTAGAACAGCATAGGCAATCAAGACCCGTAGAAATTACATAATGGAGTCAGAATAATTTGCATTTTTACCGTTTTGTAGAGTTAAAAGCACATCTTGGTTGTTTTAATCCAGGTGGTTTTAATGAAAATTCAGTCTCACACTATTGACTTTGGTAAAATTGAAATTCGTTCGACTATAGTCCGTTCTATTGTCACATGATATTTTTGACTACAGAGTTGGTTAAACCATAAAAACACTGCCGTGTTAGTATTTCATTACAAATATTTGCATAGCCTATATATTTTTTAAAAATAGGCATAATGGCAAAAAACAACGTCATGACTTACTATCCCCGCTCAGATTGGAATATAATAGCTTGTCACTACTTGACTGGGCAACGGCATGTAAACACTATAGAGAAATGCAGTCTGAATAAAATTTCATTGTCACGGTCGCTTGATGAGATGCCCCCCGTCCCAAAAATCTACAAGGAAAGGAGGATTATACCAAAAATTACCTTCCAGCAATTATCCGCAATATGAAACTAATTAAATTTGTACAATATATCCGTAATATTAAAAAATCTAATGATCTTTCCCCAAGAAGGGACATTTTTTAAGAACAAAGTGGTGTGCGATGCGTATCACGATGAGACTAAACTTTCAACAAAAAGTTTATCCTGGCGATGCCAAAAAACATTTTATGAGTTAAATCATAATAATAAATGGGTCATAAAAGGGGGCAGAATTGAAAGGCATGTAAAAGGACATACCATATTCGAAAAAATAAAATTACAACAAAAAATAATAGTGTTAATAATTGCAATATACATTGGGATCAAATCTTCAAAATCAAAATTTATAACGAACTAATTAAATATAACTAGTAAAACATATTGTCTGTGGATAAGAGAAATTCGAAACATTAATAAAATGGAATGTGAAAAAAATCGGAAATAAATGCCCGATGGCCCTATATAATACTACGGCCCGGTCATAGACCTGGACTTAGACAAAATGCACTATAAAACATCCAGAATAAATAATTTTACCCGCTAATTGTAATTTATATTATTCCAGGTACGAGGGGATTTGTTAAGTCTTGACCAAAAACAATGTATCCAATGCAAATTACGTCATGAACGTAATGAAAAATAGAAGTAATTTACAAAAGATGTTGTATCTGTTTACAGAATCATGAAAAATAATAATCAAAGGCATCAGTTAAAAATTTAGAAATTTTGTTCAATCAATGAATTGGAAATATGAATCCCTTTTGAACATTTTTGTTAACTCATCTCAATGTATTTATTATATTTTTTAATTATAGAAGACAGTAAGGGCATGAACCTCGATGAAGTTATTCAGAATACCCATATAGATTTGTTGAAGCCGCGTTGGCGTAGTTTTAATCTCGAAAACACGTGCTACCAATTCTCTACTTAAGACAATGTTCGAAACAGAGACTACTAGGAACACTATAGATACTTTAATCCTTATAACAACAGTCGTCGAGGTTATTCAATGTTGATTTATCAGTTTTTGTGTATTCAATTGTTAGAAATCGATGGGCAAAGTTTTTGAGATTGGAGTCGGCCGCACAGTCGGCATATAAAAATGTGAAAAAATAGTTATAGTTAACATAGCGAACTCAGAAATGAGAGGGTACGAGGTTTTCGCTCTTCTGGCAGTTGTTTACATGTGTCGGGTAAATATTATTTTTTTTAATTATAATTCAACGAGAACCTATAGATCTGTATCAAACCTATAGATCTGTAGCAAACCTATAGATCTGCATCATGTATTATTTCATCGGATTTATTGCAATAATTTATTTGAATTGATGGCGCAGGCCCAAACGGTCAAGCAACTCATTAACGATACTGAGACAGAGCTGGAACATTTAAAGCGTCATCTGGCAGAAACTGAACATACCTTCTTAGTAAATCATGAAAAGGCTAAGGAAAAAGCAATCAATATTGTTAACGCAACTTACGAAAAAGTCCAAGTAAGTCATGAATATCTTACAATTATAAACAAGTTGAACCATTCTAACAATGCCTGTATGCAAATCCGGCTTCAACATGATCGTTTTGTGTTTTTAATGCTCTTCCGACCATTCGTATCCAGAAAACGAGATTTTCCAATTATGGGATGGACCATCACTTCAATTGATCGGGTTTAACGTGATTATCCATTTTTATTTCGGCATTGTGCGCTGAAATTCAACGTATTTTAAAGTATTTGAAAAGAAAAATAAAAGCACAGTTTTTTGTCAGAAATTTTCTGAATTTGCCAAAAATGATACTCATTTTTTTCCCGGATGTCGGAAAATAAAACTCAAAACTTGAATGTCACCATAGCTTCATAGTTTTTTGAATGTATCTGTTTTTTTTTGGAAAATTTAGAAAATTTTCGACTGAAATCATATTTCAATAATTTCCGCTCAATCATCTCCGAGTCATATTTTTTTTTCAATAAATTGCTCATTTTTTGCTGTGATATTTAAGTTTCCAGGATGAACATCGAATTATCTCCATAATAAGCAGCTTTATGGAGAAATATTAAAGGCCATTTATTGTTGAAGCTTTACACTGTTATAACGATAGTTTTCCATCTTTTTCGTCTCATCTTATTCGGCTCGGTTTAATAAATGTTTACAATATATTACAGTGATATTGCAATAAGTTGTAAATGCAATATCACTGCGGTGGTTATTGAGATTAACTCAATAACGATATACATTAATTATTAGAAGTCATTATTATTGATCATTTATAGTAAATCGAGCCAAATGAGATGAGACGGAAATGATGGAAAAGTATCTTTATAACAGTGTAAAGCTTTCACAATGAAGATCCCTTCATATTTTCCCGTAAAGTTGCTTATCATGGAAATAATTCGATCTTCAACCTGTGAACGTAAATAGCACAACAAAAAATTGTTTAATTTAGTAAGAAAAAAAACTATGACCAGAGGATGAGCAGAAAATTTTGACGGATGATTTTGATCGGAAATTTTCTGAATTTTCCGAAAAAAATCAGATCTTTAAGAAAAGCTGGAGCACATGGTGAAATTCAAGTTTTAAGTTTTATTCTCCGATTTTTGCTATCAGAACGACAAGTGAGAAAAAAATGACTATCATTTCCGAAAAATGTGGAAAATTTCCGACGAAAAACTATGTTTTTATTTTTTTTTTCAAACACTTTTAAATACGTTGGATTTGAGAACGATTTCGAAATAAGAATGGATAATCACGTTAAACCCGATTAATTAAAGCGATGGACCTCCCATAATCAGGAAATCTCGTTTTCTAGACACGAATGGTTGGAAGAACAAAAAAAAAATCGAATTTGATGTTGAAGCCGGATTTGCGTACAGAAATTGGTAGAATAGTTCAATTATACGTGATTTTTTTTTATGATGAATGTGTTACTTGCAGTCTGATGCGACGGCAGTCCGAAGACAAGGGATAGATACCCAAGTATGCACTAATGAACTGAACTTAGAGATTACAAAAGCTCTGACGTACTTCTTAAAGCACTTGCAAGAATGTTACAATCAATATACTCTCCGCTATCCTGAAATGAACGCTGCGCTTGGTAATCAAACGAAGGTATGGAAAATATTCAGCCTCAAGGGAAGAATCCTATGAGAAAGGGAGATGGACATTTCGATCAAATCGCATCAAAAGTCTTGAAAAAATCTAAAATCTGTCACGCTTATTCTTCACTGATCATTCATTGGTGACAACTTATACTCAATTCCGCTCCTACTTCTTTCATTGGCGCATATGCACTGTACTGTACACAAAGATTTCTTTCATGAGCGCATATGTACTGATTTTTCTACATTTGTAATGTCTGAAAAATTACGGGTCTGACTGATTTCTTAGTAATAATAACCAGGAAATTCCATATGAAGTTTCAACATTTTAAGGGGCTTATATAAAATTGCAGACGTAATTTATTAATAGTATAATTATTCAGATTTATAATTGGTGAGAGAAGACACATTCCAATACGCGCGCAAGCCCGCGTTTGAAGTCTCGTCTGTATAGAAGAGCAATGATTATAGGATATTCCCTTCACGTCCACAGGAAGGAGCGAAATTGAAGGGAGAATTGGATGAAATTTTCGACAAGAATAAAAATAAAGTGAAAAAGCCATATCCAGGCGTTCGCGACCTAAGAGTTGCAGTCAAATCATGGAAAATGTATATTATGATGCTAAAGAAGTATGAGAGTAGCGATACTGCAAATGCTAAAAAAAATCTGGGGCGCTGCCGCAAATCATTACTCAAATATTTGAAGCAACAATCAAAATATCACGAGCGCGAGGCGACCCACTGCATCAAGAATTTAACTGAAAAACCTGAATTAGTCGCAGCTTCAACTGTATCAAACGTGGATAATTTGAGCACTCTGCAGACAAAGGCCGAATCGCTGAAGAAACATATGGACACAGTGAAGAATAATTTGAGGAATTACAAACTTGAATTGATAAAAGCTGAGAAGGGCCTCCACACGATATATGAAAAGAAAAGAGAAATGGCAAGCAACGAGATAGAAACAAGAGTTCGAGCGCTCACAGTAAGTTCAGTAGAATAAATACCACATGTGACCGTAAACTAAGATCCACATATGCTTTTTTACTTTCGAATAATAATTTTGATTTTAGAATGGGAATAAGACAGCTCTACAAAGGAGGAAGAATGCAAGTGAGTGTATCAGTGCATTCTCCAACACAGCGAAAAGAATTATGGTCAACCGTGTTGGACAGATGGACCAGTGCTTCCAACTATATATTGCTCAGTACGACCAACTGAAAGATTATTATAAAAACTTGACAAAGGTATGTGAAATATTGAATACTGAAGTAAAAAAAAAGAAACTGATTGATCGTACAGAAATGGGAATTGAACTGTATTTGTTTTCGTCTGTAGGAAGGATACGGATTGTATGAGAAATATAATGGTATTCGAAAGAATATTGAAATTAATGAAGTAATGCAAGTATATAGAAATGTTCATGAACTGAAAAATTTAATTGAATCATGGGAAGCTGACATCAACTTGTTGAAAACGTATGAGAAAGAAGACAATGCAGTTGCGAAGAAGAATATTCAACACTGCACTAGTTCATTGTCCGGTGCAATGAAGAGACAATTCGACAAGCTTACTATAAATGCTTGGCAGTGTATCAAGTCTCTGCCTACAACAGAGACTCCAGTTAAACCACTCATAACTGTAACTGAATCAGCCGAGGCAGTAAAGTCAAATTCCGAGGCTACGACTGTACCTGGATTACATCAGACAGTAAAACCAGCAACTGAGTCTGCACTTCAACCATCGACGATTGTAACTGGATTAGATGAGAAAGTAAAGCCAAATACTGAGGTTGCCACTCAACCACCTCCATCAGTAACGGGATTAGATGAGACAGTAAAACTGACAACTGAGGCGGCGACTCAACCCCCTACGACTGTCATTGGATTAGGTGAGACAGTAAAGCCACCAACTGAGGCTGTGACTCAGTCACCTACGACTGTAATTGAGTTAGATGAGACAGTAAAGTCAACCACTGAGGCTGCGACTCAAGCACCTACAACGGTAACAGGATTAGATGCGACCGCAAAGCCAACAACTGAGGCTGTGACTCAGTCACCTACGACTGTGATTGAGTTAGATGAGATAGTAAAGTCAACCACTGAGGCTGTGACTCAAGCACCTACAACGGTACCAGGATTAGATGAGACCGCAAAGTCAACAACGGATGCTGCGACGCAAGCACCTACAACGGTACCAGGATTAGATGAGACCGCAAAGCCAAC